CAAGCCCAACTAACCCTAAATGAGTATACAGCTCAGTTGGAAGGGGAGGGAAGGCTGAGGTCAAGTAGAGAGGCTTCAACCAACAGCAAGAGTTTCAGGAGTGGAGAGCCTGGGTCAGTCTGGAAAGTTGGTTCAGTGGAGGTTGAGTCAGAGAGCTACTACTGTACCCTTCTTAGGAGTTGCAGTCCCCAAGATCGATTCTTTTTTTTTTTAAAGATTTTATTTATTTATTTGAGAGGGATATATAGAGAGAGACAAAGAGTGAGCAAGAGCACAAGAGCAGGGAGAGGGAGAAGCAGACTCCCTGCTGAGCAGGGAGCCTGATGCAGGGCCCAGGACCCTGGGATCATGACCTGAGCTGAAGGCAGACGCTTATGGGACTGAGCCACCCAGGCACCCCCCAAGATCGATTCTTACACAATTACTAATGAGCGGGTGCACCCATCAAGCATTACTGGAAGTACTTGGTCAAGCAGGTTGCCTTGGGGAACCGGGAATAATAACCACAGCCATTTACTGTGTACCAGGCTCTGTGCGAGGTGCCTCACGTACCCTGACAGTAACCTGGAGAGGGCTAGATATCATTTAGCATTTGAATCTGTTAATCTTGATGTGTAACGAACACTTAAAAAACCCCAATTTCAATTTACTTTATAATTCTGTGGTTGGCACTTCGTGGGGGCTTGACTGGGTAGTTCTTCTAGATTCAGCTGGCCTCGGTCATGCGTCTTTGATGAGCTCTGCTTCTGGGAATTGGCTAGCTGCAGGCTGGGGCGACAGAGGCACCTGGGCCACTCCCTGGGTCTCTCACCTTCCATCAGACTAGCCTGAACTTCTCCACACTGGGGCTGGCCAGGGTCCCATGACGGAGAGAGGAAGCCTCCGAGGTCTCTTCAAGGCAAGACTTAGAAATGGCACCATGTCATTTCCAATACAGTCTCTCAGCCAGATCAAGTCACAAGGCTCGCCCAGATTAAAGAGCGAAGCAATAGACTGCCACCTTTTTGCAAAGTCATACTGCAAAAGGGTATGGACCCAGGTGGGGGAATAATTGCAGCCATCTTTGCAAACAATATACCTCAGTCTTTATACATGAAGAAGCGAGAGCTCAAGCAGGTTAAGCTACTCATCTACCCAGGGTCTCTCAGCTAATAAGCGACAGAACTAGAACAACACATACCTGTGGGACTTCAATATGAGCTCTTTTCACAAGGCTAGGCAGCTTAATTAAGAAATTAAAGGTGCGAATGATCGTTTTACTTCTTAAATTAACATTAGTTGAGCATCCTCTATTATTTATACAGCACTAGGCTTCAGGTCATCCTCACCAAATAGAGATGATCATCCTCATTTTACAGGCAAGGAAATTAAGGCTCAAAAAAATTAAGGTGGACTCGTCAATGGATCATGAAGCCCAGTGCGCATAAAGACAAGGGATTTGAAACTATTTCTTCTGATTTCAGATCCACTATTCTTTCAGTCACACAAAATACTACTCATCTGGGGCCCATGAACTTCTAGAAGGTGTAACATGGTCCTTGAACAATTTAGGCTTACATACAAAATTTCAAAAATATTGCATTCAAGCATTTTTCTTTCTCTATTATTATTATTTTTTAGGAAGAGAGAGTGGAAGCAGTGGTGCGGGGGGAAGAGCAGAGGAGGAAAGGGAGCAGAGGGAGAGGGAGAGAGACAATCTCAAGCAGGCTCTACACCCAATGGGGAGCACGACCCAGGGCTCAATCTCACAACCTTGAGATCATGACCTGAGCCAAAACCAAGAATTGGACCCTTAACCAACTAAACTGCCCAGGTGCCCCTCAAGCATTTTTCTGAAAAAAAAAAAAAATTAAGGAAATAGCTCTCATTAGATTCTCAGAGGGATCTATGTCCCCCCACAAAGTTAAGCTCTGCATACATGTTATATTTCCTCCCAACCAGACAGGCAAAACTCTTTAGTCCCATAAACTTTGTATATTCTAGAAACATGGAGAGAAAGGGAGCCTTGAGGCTAAGTCCAAGAAAGATCGGGTGGGATTGAGAAGCTCTGGGGATTGGAATGTGTCCCTTCATCTCGTCTTGAGATGGTGTCAAGGTTGGGTTGTTGGAAATGACCTGTTGGGCAGGTGGTCACTAGCAGTGGTCAGTAAGCATACTGCAATTTGCTCCAACTCTAGAATATTTTTCTACCTTTTACAGACTTGGATTTCTGTATCAGGGGATCCCAGACCCAATTCCGTTCTCCCTTCTGCCTTAAGATGTGGCCCCAGAATTTCTCAGAGCCAGAGCAGGGTCCTGAGAGTGGGCCCCACTCCTGAGCTTCAACTGAGCTCCTCACCTTCTCACCCAGCTGCCAGCCAGCTCTGTGGGGTCTGCATCACCCCGCGGCGGGGCCCAGGGTCTCCACCCCTTTCTCCCAGCTAGCTTCCTCCTGCACATCCTGCCTTCGACAGGGCCTATTGCTGGGGAGCCTCCAGTTAGCAGCGATCTAGCATGGAGAACTACAGTCCATCAAATTGAGAGTGTAACCACACAGAGCTAAAAAGTGGGACCAACAGCGAAAGGGACTTGCCCACCATTCTGCCCTCTCCTCATGCCATCAACAACTTCAGCCCATCCTATGATGACACACGTCCTAGAGAAGCTTAGCATCCCTCTCCTGGATGCCTGCTCTGGCAACTTCTCTGGCCCACCTGCATCCCCTTGGTCCCTCTCCAATCGGTTCTCAATACTGCAGCCAGAAGGATCTTTTCAAAAGACAAATCTGATCATATCATACTCCTCTGCCTAAAAACACCTAATGGCCTTCCCGTATGGTCTACCAGCCCCGATATCTGGCCCCTATCTCTGCCTTCAGGCTCGTCTCTCAGAGTTTCTCCCAGGTGCGCACTGGAGCTGGCTCCTACCACTCCCAGAGCCAACTGGGAAATATTAAGGAATGTGGTGGTAGCTGGAAATTCACTGTAGTGGGATTATTTGCACCAGAGAAATCAACAAATGCTGAACATCAAATTTGCCCCCAGAGAGCTGGTTGACCAGCACACTGAGGCCCCATGCCCACTGTGTGGTTCCACCACGGGGTCCTTGTACATCCTGCTTCTCTGCCTGGAACACTCCCTCTTTGCTGAGTTAACTTTACTCTTTTAGGCCTCAAGCCAATTGATACTTCCTCTGGGAAGGCTTCCTTGGTGTCTCAGAACAAGTCAAATCCCAATCTCAAGCCTGTCCTTCTGAGCCCGTATCACAGTTATCATTTCTCATGTATTTGTGTGATAAATGATACTCCTCACTATTGTCACCTCATCAGCCAGCACAGTGCCTGGTACATGGTAGAAACTCAAAACATTTGTTGGATTAATGAAAAGGTTAGAGAAATAAGCACTAGACAGAAATCTAAAGCTTTGGCGTCTATGGCAGAGACTGCTATTACTCATGTTTCCTTTCTACCCAGTCTCTTCTGTTGTTAGCTCTGTCATGTCACCAAATCCTGGCCAGTGCAATGGGGTGAGAACCATAGACTCTTTCCAGCCATGGCCTCCTAAATGGCCCAAGTGGTCTTTAGTGCTCTCTTCTCCATCTGCATGGCGGCAGGAAGCAAAAGCCCAGATTCCTGAGTGACTGATTGGAGATGAGCTGCCCACTTGAGTCACCTGACCCTCCTTGAACTATGATAGGAGCGAGGTGTACTTTTATTGTGTTAATCCCTGAGGTTTGGGGGTTACTTCTTACTACAGTAGGACTGCATCTACCCTGACCTAAAAGACCTCAGTGCTGTCATTAACTCCTTCTGCCCTTTGGCAATCCACAAGCTCTCTGGGCCTCAGTTTCCCTATTGGTCGAAAGAAAGGATCCCACAAGATGACGTCTGATATCCTTCCAATGTTAAAATTTGGTTGTTCTGCTTGTTTATTTTCCTCCCTCCTGCCTAGCACTATATGCAGGCACGATAAATATGTGCAGATAAGAGAACCTCCTATATTTGAAATCCTTTCCCCCAGATAAAAACATTTTAACACCTTAGAAATTCAGGGTGGTTGCTCTGAATATTTAATCATCCAGCGAGTAAAATATCGATCAAAATAACAATGGTGACATTTTATCCAGAGGCTAGGGAACCTTCTGAGATCTACCCCTCAGCCTTCCAGCAACTCCCCCAAGCATCTTGCTTTGTTCTTGGCAGTCTGGGGGCTCCAGCATTTCTAATGATTTGCAGGCCTCCTCCTTAGACTGTCCCAACTGTTCCACTTGGCTGAATCTGTCATCTGCCTTTCTCAATAGAGATGGTCCCATTTTTCAAAGGAATCCACTAATGCCTTTTCTTAGAAAGTTGTCATTAAAGGCTACTACCGCCTGGATATCAGTAACCAAGAAGCCAGAGTCGCATCTTTGATGAGATGTAGCAAAGGGGATACAGAGTTCTTGATAACTGGGTTTCAAATCTCCTGAGTGTATCCTAGCCCTGCCATCGGTTCATGGTGTGTGAAAAAGGCAAAAGACAAGCAGTTCGTCTCGGGCTGGGGTCCCTCTTCCTGTTAAAAATGAAGGTCACTGCAGCTGCTGTCATCCCAGTAACCATAGTAACAATGAACCACATGACAGGTGTATGATCTCCATCAGACAATGTCTAGAATTAAGTGCTCATCCTTCCCTTCACGCCCACCCCAGATCCTGCTAGGTGGTGTTAAGGGTTTCCCAGGGGAGCAGCTCAGGCATGGGAGATCCGGACTGACAGCATTAATTAAACCTTTCATTTCCCTGGAACATTTTGCATTTACCAGGCCCAGGAGCCAAGAAAACCTCCAAGGGAAGCTCTTATGAGAGAGAATGCTAAGTCTACCACCAGGGACGGCGGCATTGCATTCAGCAAATGGAGCTCAGTAGGAAAATGTGCCTAGCATATAGCAAGCACAAAATAAATATTTGTGGAAGAGTCGGTTTAATCAAAGGGAGCTCATTTAGCAAGTGGGATTCTTTCCAAACCACTGGAAGTCCTGCACGAGATGATCATGTGAGTCATTCACCCTTTCAGTGATTCCTGAGTACCTCCCGTATGCACCCATGGGTGATGGTATGAAGGCTCTAAAGATAGTAGCTTGCTGAATGAATCCCAAGTTCCCTGGGGCTCAAGGGCACGTTGGGAAGTGTGTAGAGGGGAGTCTGAAGGGACCGGCAGGGACCACATCACAAAGGGCTTTCGGTTTAACTGGAGGCTCTTGCGTTTATTATTGGTGACACTTTGAAGGCTTTTATGCATGTGAATGATAAGATTAACTTTGCATTTCAGAAACATCCTTTTTAATGCCCTGTAGGGAAAGGATTAGAGAGAGACAATTGCTTGACCAAAGAAATGATGTTCTAGAAATTCTGAAGCCAGGACTTAAGAGAACGGCTTTGTCCTCTTGGAATCTGGCTGCCGTGCAGCTCCAGCCACGTGGAGAACCCCTGTGCGCTGGCTGACAGCCAGCTGTGCCCCCAGGGGCAGCCCGTACCTGCTGCCCACCCTGTGGTGCGCCATCTTGCACATCCCAGCCCAGCCGAGCGCAGTCCCTGGAGAGACATCACTTGCAGCAGGAAAAACACCCAGTGGAGCGCGGTCAACCCACAAAATCATGAAAGCTAACAAAATGATTGTTCTCAGCCTCTAAGTCATGGGTGGTTTGTCATGCAGGGGTAGATAAGGTTCCAGGTGGCGGTCACTTCTGCAGCTCAGCGCTGAAGGTCTGGCGGGAGCCATGCTAGATTTAGGAGCCGTTGGCTTCATGGGAATTCCGAAGCCCTGTTGTGGGTGAAATTCTCTGCACTCCTTCTCACACGTGCCCAGCAGACACCGGGAATGCTTGCTGAATTCAGTGAAACACTCCCCATAACACAATACACTGCAAACCACTGTGTTCTGATCTAAGGCCGTCTCCTCATGCCTGGAATTCTAATTTCACCTTACTCTAAGCATACTTCTTTTATGTCCCCCTCTCTGCATCAAGTGTGGACTGCTGGCTGCTGCACGTGAGGCTCTTTGTTCTTCTAAGACAAGTTCTTTCTCTGAGTGTGGCGCAGGGACTCGGAATCTGCCAACCCGAGTCTGGGTTGAGGATGCCTGGAGTTTTCCAGCTTCCCCACATCCCCTACCGGCCCACACCATCCTCATCCGCAAATGGAGACCCACAGATCAAATGAGGAGGGAAAGCATGCTGAAGGACATGCGACAGAAACAGAATGGGTGCGGTGATCTTCACCAGGGCATGGGCACAGTCTCAACCCCAGGCAATTCCCTTCTGCCCGCCTGCCCCCTGCCAGCTCTGCCCCACGGCATAGCAAACACCAGGCGAGTTCGGGAGATGGGAAGTCTCCAGCCCTTGTGTGTTTGAAAATCTCGCGGAGGACCCACGTATACAGGCTCCCGGGCCAGAGAAGGTGAGAAAGGAAGGGTTAGGAGTCTGGTAAAGTGACCCCCACCCAGACTGAGCCGCAGGCCTGGGCTGGAGCCGGGGTTCGCCCGCTCACACAGTGTGACCTGGGCGAGCTCCTGCCCTTCTTGGGGCCAAGTGTCCGCGTACAGAAAGCGTGAAGAACGGCCCAAGACACCCCTAAGCTTGCGGGCATCTGAAGGCTGGTTTGCTGTTGGGGTGGGGGTCTGGTCACGTGTCGGCGGGAGGGGGTGCGGGCTGACGTAGAGCTGAGTGCGG